GAGAGAGAGAGGAGAGAGGAGAGAGAGAGAGAGAGAGAGAGAGCGAATGAGATATGAGAAAGCACGAGAGGGTGGGGTGAGAAGTGGGTGGGTGGGGGGGGAGGAGTGGGGGTTGTGAGAGAGAGATCAGCGAGAGATTACAATTTAAGCGAGCAGCGCGAATGAGGGCAAGAGAGGAGGGAGACGGAGGTGCGGGCAGCAGCAGAGTAAGGTACGGTACGCACGCTGATCATCTTGTCGGCGAAGTACACGGGGTGCACCCACTGCAGCGTCTCCCGCCCGCCCCACGCGCCCAGCGACCCCAGTGCCTCCGGCGACAGCGTGTCAAACAGGTGGTCCGCGTCCGGCCCTATCATCGCCCGCCAGAACTGCCGCGCTCGCACGGGAGAAGGGGGGAGAGCCGCGGGAGAGGGTGGAGAAGGGGAAGAGACGGGAACGACGAGAACTGAGCATGGGAGAAGGGGAGAGAGAGGGAGGGCGGGAGGGGAACGTGGGCAGGGTGATGAGAGGGAGCAGTGGTGGTGCGAGGAGGTGGTTGCACTCACATGGCGATCGTCCTCGGACAGCACCACGTCCTCGTCATCCCCCTCCTCGCCATCCTCCTCATCCTCATCGTCATCATCGGTGTCGTCCTCCTCGTCAATCATCGCACCCTCGCCGCCAATGCCAGCCCCGCCCAGCAGCAGGTTCAGCGACTGCCACGCGTCGCCGGCCTGCGCGCGCACGTCGCTGCCCCTGAAGCCGCGCTCGTCGTCGCTGGCGTTGTCGCTGTCGTGCAGATGGTGCGCGTGGTCGTCCGCGGTGCCCTCGATGAGGTCGTCCAGCGCCACCTCGTCCATGCCGCCGAAACCCACCAACGCCTGCCCACGCGTACCACCACACGCGCCACACACGGGCGCATACGGCAAGTGAGAGAGCAGGCCGCACACGAGTGTGCGCGTTGAGGCGGGAGGGAGCACGACGACTAGCATCGGCGCGGCGGGAAACATGGCAGCGGGGAGGCCGGGCGGGGTGAGGCAGGGCGGGGCGGGGCGGGGCGGGGCGGGGGGCACTGACCGAGCAGAGGCGCGCGTCCTCGTGGAGGATGCGCAGGAAGTCGTCGTCCTCCTCCACCTCCACGAACACGTCTGCACGCCGCTCCGCACCGCACCGCACCGTGCAACGCCACACGCGCGCGTGCGTCGGGGAGGGGGAGAGGGAGGCAGGGAGGACAGTGAGCGTGGATGGGAAGACGGTTTCAGGCTTGCGAGTGACGGCAGTGACGAGTGGCGGCAAGCGGGTCAACACAGCTGATACGGACGGCACTCGCTGCCCTCGCACGACCACCCCCAAAGGTGCTCCGCCGCTCCGGCCACTACTGGTCCTCCAGCGCACACCCACTACCGGGCCTGCCCTTCCCCATACCCGCCCTCCCCTCCTCCTCACTCCCCCACCGCCTTGACGAAGCGTACCTCCGTTGTGGTCCACCACGAAGCGCGCGTCCGCCGCGAGGAAGCCCGCGGAGCCCTCGGCGAGCGCGGCGAACACGATGGCCTCCCCGTTCACCTGCCGCCGCGCAGGGGGAAGGGCGCAAGGGGGAAGGGCGCAAGGGGAAGAGCGCAAGGGGGAAGGGCGCAAGGGGGAAGGGGGCAAGGGGAAGGGCGCAAGGGGGAAGAGCGCAAGGTTGAAGGACGCAAGGGGGAAGGGCGCAAGGGGAAGGGCGCAAGGGGGAAGAGCGCAAGGGGGAAGGGCGCAAGGGCGAAGGGGGCAAGGGGAAGGGCGCAAGGGGGGAAGCGCACGGGGAAGGCACAGAAAAGGGGGCGGATAGACGGGTAGGCATGGGGAACGAACGGTCGTGGGGCAAGAAAAGGCAAGCTTGTGGATGGGCGCGAACGCATCGTTGATTCGGCGCAACTGTTGCGCTGACAAAGCGATTGAGCCCACCCAGGCATCCGCACGGTGGTGCCCAGCGGCAGTGTGGACGGCACGATGACAGCAACACACATCCCCATCCCACAGCCATATCCATCCCTCCTTCCTTCCCATTTCAACCCCCTCCCCATCCCCCCAACCCCCCCCCACCCCCTCCCCCCCTCCCTTGTTGCCCTTCCCTCTCACCTCAGCCACCGTGCGCGCCACCTCCGCCGGTGACAGCTGTGCTGCGCCGCCGCGCCGGCCATCCTTGCCCACGCCTGCGCGCCCTCCGCCGTCCTGTTCCTCCGCCGGCACGTGCTCCAGCGGGTGGTACCCAAGCGCACTCGCCGACGGCGGCTGCGACGCTGAATGCGGGGGCGCGGGGCCACCGGCGCCCCTTCCGCCGCCACTCTTCTTGCGGAAGGGCAGCCCCGCTGGACCCGACGGACTCCCCGTGGCACCGGCTGCTGCCGTGACGCGCGTGCGCGCAGGGGCTGAGCGGCAGTACGGTGAGCGGGAGGGCGGAGCTTGGGTATGCGAGGAGACGGCGGAGGAGACAGCGCGCAGGGGCGTGGGAGACGCAGCGACGGGGCCATGCAGGCGGAAAAGCATCGGCCTTGCACGGGGGCTCGAAGGTGGCGGCTGCAAGGGGGCTGTGGAATCCCGCACTGGGTGCGACGACACAGCAGTCGCCGACACCGGGTGCACCGCCGACAGCATGGTTGCGCTGCGACCACGCCGCTGTCCTGTCGCGGGGCAGACGGGATAAGGCAACGCATAGCCGCAGATCATGGCAGGGAAAAGGTGAAAAGATGACGGACTGCTCGTCGCAATCACAGTGAATTGCAAAGAACTGGGTTGCAGAAAGCAGCATAGAAGCGAGGGCAACGAGAGATCGAGAACCAGCAGTGAGAGCACGAAGACCGGCTTAATTGAGGGGGATTGCGCGTTCAGCGGGGATGTTGACAGAGTTCGCGGTGAAAGACAGCAACGCATCGACGCATCGGCGACCAATAAGTGACCTTCGTTACTTCGAAATTGTCAGGAGGCAACACGGTGAGAATTTATTATCTCAGGTGAACCACAAGTGATTGCCGACCTGAAGTCCGAAATGCGCGTCCACACCCGCCTCGGCTCGCGAATCCGCCTCGATTCGTGTAAGCGACCGAAAACCTGAATAGCTTTCACGCGATACTACAACATGACAAGTAGTGCCCAACCTCCGTCCCTTTCTATGCCCGTCTGCCGAACCGATTAGCGACTAAGTGTGCCTCAGATTCGGTCAGCCTTAGTAAGGAGGGGAGGGGGAGAGGGGTGAGGGATGAAAGGGCGCGAGGCGGAGGGGGGAAAGTGCGCGAAATCTGGAGTTGGCATGACGTTCTTACGTCAACGGGGGGCAGGAAAAATACTCCGAAGGTCAGTGCATAGACAAAATGGAATCTTTGGGAACTGAGAACTGAGAAATGTATATGACCCCATACATTTTCTAGACCTCAACAGAGAACACTGAGGTGCTCCGTCGGAGCATAAACGAAACGGAATCTAGGAGTACAGTAAGCGGCTGGTTGTCCTTGCTTGGAATGCACGACACACAGGGGATGCCTCGCTGGGAACACAATGCGTACCGTAGACTGCTCGGGCATGCTTACGTGTCAGGAGCCTTTCGTTTGTGGTGGTGCTTACACAGTCTCTACGGGGCATGCTGATTCGCTGGGATGCTGCACTCACCCCAGACTAAAGCTGAATGTCTTGCTGCTACTGGTGGAATAATCCTAACCACTCGCTTATCTGCCACTTCGGACAGAGGGTGGACACGGAATATCCTTGTGTCGCATTAGTGTGCAATCATGTTCGTTTGTAGGTGAATTGCCTAGGATCAACCAATCGTAATATATTATTTGTTATAACAAATTTGAATCTATTTATTCTGTGCATTTTTGGGTTGCATAGCAACCCTATATATTTGGTTTCACATGTTGGGGATATCATTTCAGAAATGAGTTTTATGCACTCTTTGAAACACTATTCTTTAATAGATGCCTCAAAAAAGTGGATAAACAATCACCCTTGAACGAAACGTGAAAGCAAATATGCATGTGCCTGTCAAGAATGCGTGTTCATTAAAGCCCGTACCCGGAATTGCGGACCGCGCACGTCAAGTTTTTAAAACTTGACGAAGCTGAGTGTTCAAGCTTTGAAAAGCAGCGCGCCTGCAATTTGGGACTCTCGAAGTCCACTCCACTCACATGAGGGAAATCCGCGGGCTGGCTGGGTTTGGCGAAAAAAAACGATTTTAACGAAATCTCAAAAACACTCGCCCAACCCAAGGCCAGTAAAACACCCTCTCGTCAACCTTTAAAAGGATGAACAATTTGGGCTACCGGCTTTCATGTAGGTTAGGGTACATATAGCAAACCCTAACATTTGTACCCCCTAAGACAAGCCTCACTACAGGCTACAACATTTGACACGGTGTTTAGCAAAGACAAAAGAGTACGGTCACAAGACCAGTCACAAAGAAACAAAGCTCATGGTGGATCACAACGTCACCACACAGTCCGAGCGCAAGCAAAGAGCCACAAAGCCAGTTCAAGAGTTTACAGGTATATAAGTAGTAAGTACAAGATAACAAGTAACGACTATGCAAGAAGAGAACCAGAGTAAACAAGGCCTAACTGCACACAACACCTGTGGTGGTCACAAGGCGGAAGCGCCTTGGTGAAGATGTCGGCAGTGTTGGCCTCGGACTCCACAAAGTCCAAGCGAGCCTGTCCATGCCTCTGCAACTTCCGAAGAAGAAAGTACCTAACGTTGATGTGCTTCACTCTGCTCTCTAGTCGAGGCTTACGACAGAGAAGAATCGCCGCCTTGTTGTCAGTGAACAAGGTCGGTGCAGAGCTCGGCCGCTCACCAAGGTCTGTGAGCAAGAAGGTTAACCAACGCAGCTCCTGTGCAGCCATGGCTCCAGCGTAGATCTCAGCCTCAGCAGTAGAGGTCGAGACCGAGGAGGAGCGCGTGGACCTCCACGAAACAGCTCCAGAGCCCAGGCTGAAACAGTAACCCTGAGTAGACCTGTGGGTCTCGTCGTCGTCAGCGTAAGAGGAGTCGCAGTGACCAATAAGGACGACCGACTGTGTCCTTCCACGTGCTTCCCATCCTCACAGCAGCGATTCAGTGAACTGGACGGTGTCTCCCTGGCGCAACAAAGCGAGCAAGGATGCTGAAAGGGTAGGCGAGGTCCGAGCGAGTACAAGTCATCAGGTACATGAGGCAGCCGACAAGCTCTGCGTAGGGCCCACTGGGTTCAAACGGCTCGTCTGGAAAGGGACCAGTGAGACTGTGGCCAACAGCAAGAGGTGTGCGCTGTACTGTGGAGTGCTGAAGCTCGAACCGCTGAAGGACCTGTTGCACCATGTGTGATTGTGAGAGTGTTATCGTGCGAGCAGCTCTGTCCCTGGTGATCTGCAGGCCAAGGTAGTGGCGCAGCTCACCAAGGTCAGTGCACGTGTGTCTCTTCTGCAGTTCGCGTTTCACGCCAGCCAAAGCAACCCTGTCAGCAGTGGCGAAAACCAGGTCGTCGACGTAGACCAGTACAAAAAACGGTCTGGAGCCACAACGAACAAACAGCGACGGGTTGGCAGACGAAGGCTGGAAACCGAGGTCAGAGAGGGTAGAGCGAAGAGTGTCGTGCCACTCACGAGGAGCCTGACGAAGACCGTAGACCGGTCGCCTCAGCCCCCACTGGGTCCCCGAAGGGAAAGTGCCAGTGAAGGCAGAGGGACGACGTAACCAGACCTCCTCGTGTAGGCTACCCTGAAGGAAGGCAGTAGAGAAGTCGAGAGAGTGTAACTTGTAGTCTCTCTGTGCTGCTACGTGCAGTAACACCTGAAGAGTGGTCATCTTCGGGGTAGGCGGGAAGGTCACCTGAAGAAGTCAACTCCCTCGCGCTGACTAAAACCTCTAGCCACATAGCGAGCCTTTAAGACCGGAGGAGACCCAGGTGGCCGCTTCACCCTGAAGATCCACATGCCATCGACTACGTTCGCCCCAGGAGGGGGGACCTCGTCGACGTAGGTGCCTGTGGATCTGTAGGAGGCCATCTCTGCATCCATGGCAGCTCTCCACTGAGAGGCCCAAGGCCCTGACACTGACTCAGCGTAAGTGCGAAGAGTCGGTATGTTAAGGGCGTCGGGGTCTCCCTCTGGAGAGAGCAGCATGGCACAAAGATGAGGAGACGCGGTTGTTAGGAACTCTAGCTCAAACTGTTTGTCCTCTAGGGCGTCACAGCCAAGGGCAAACTCACCCCCGACGGCCGGAGTTTTGGCAGGAGGAGCGGTTACGAGACGAGTAGCGTAGTCAAGGCGGCGAGTGGCAGCGAAGTCAGCGACAGCGGCAGTGAGAGCGGAGACAGAGGATCTAAAGGCACGAGGGTGGGTAACAAGGGAGGCGCAAACACGAGAGAGAACAGGACGGTACGTGCGGTAGTAGTCAGAGATTGGAGTAGAGAGGGACGTAGTAAGGGTAGACTTAGGGGGGAAAGGAAGCACAGTCAGAGATGAACGAGGGGAACGGGAGTGAAACAGGGCTGTGCGAAGGTCTGTCGCAAGAACAAGGGACGAAGGACGAGCACGAGGAGAACGAAAATTCCAAGCGCGCGAGAGAGGAGGGGACAACAGAGACTGGGACTGGGAACGGGGGAAAACAGCCGGTTTGGGGTCAGAAGGAGGAAACGTGGGACCGTAAACAGGAGGAGAGGGGGAAGAGGGAGGAGAAGGAGAGGTGAGACCGAGGGCCCGAAGGCCAGAGACAGGAGGTGGAGGCGGGAGCTGCCGCGGCTGCTCCTTCGGCGGCGGCTGCGGCTGCTGCTGCTGCTGCTGCTGCTGCTGCTGCTGCTGCTGCTGCTGCTGCTGCTGCTGCTGCTGCTGCTGCTGCACCTCCAGCTGCGGCAGCTGCTGCTCTTGCTGCTCCTCCTGCAGTGGCTACTACGTATTGCTGCTGCTGCTGCTGCTGCTCCAGCCACTGTAGCTCTAATTGCTGGCGCTCCAACTCCAACTGCTCTCTTTGCAACTCCCGCTGCTCCTCACGTGCACAGCGAACACGGGCCTGGTGCCGGGTCGGTTAGGGGAGTAGTGGCCAGAGAAGTGGTAGTCCCAGGGCCGCTCTCCAAAGCACCAGTCACACCACCCCCAGAGCCAGCACTACCAGGTCTTGTAGGAGACGCACCCGCACCCCCAGTTGCAGCACCCCCAGAGACAGCGCGACGGACACCAACTCCCGGAAGAGGACAACCCTCTGCAGACACAGACACAGTACCGACTCCAGCACCCCCAGCACCAGGCACACTCTCAACACCAACTCCAGCACCCCCAGAGGAAGCACCCCCAGTGTCTACGCGACCAACTCCAGCGCCCTCAGAGTCCGCAGTAGCCTGAGGAGGAAGTGCTGACGGCTGCTGCGGTGACTGGGAGGAGGATTGCGGGGAAGGAAGCGAGACCCGAGGGGCTACCGAGGGAGGGAGGGTAGCGTCTGACACACCTGACGGGGCTGGACCAGGGGGGGAGGCTGCACTGGAGGAACCTGAGGGGGAGTGGGCGCCAGGAAGGAGAAGAGGGGGGGAGGAGGAACCGGGAGACCTCGACAGGGGTACCGGGTATAGTAGGGGACCGACTCGTCAAAACGGACGTCACGGGAGTCATAGAACCGGTGAAAGCGGGGGTGGTAGAAGGTGAAGTCAGAGGACACAGGGAACCTAGGAAGACACAGGGAATGGCGCGAGGCGAGATCTTGTCAGTGGAGGTGTCGCGAACAAGCGCCAAGCAGCCCCAGACACAAAAACGTAACGCATCACCAGAAGACCCGGTCCACAGACTGGTCGGTGAAACCCCTGGCGGGGAGACACGTGGCTAGAGGTTCAGCTGGTGAGCGGCGTACCGAACCACGTAGGGCCACAGAAAATGGGGGCAAGTGAAGCGGAGGAGGCGAGAGAGAGAGAGATGGGGGGCGTGGATGAGCGTGACAACTCATTGCCCGAGGTAGTCTCTCACTTCCAAGTCCTCACTCATCCCCCCTTAACCTCTCTTCCCCCCCCCCCCCCACAGCATCAAGTGCTGCAATAGAGAGAGGAAGAGGGAAAGGGGGAATGGCTGGTGGTTCACACCCACCACCCCCACGTCTCCCTCCCCTCTCCCCCCCCCACCCGCACGGTGGGAGCCGCGGAAGGGAAGGGCGGAGGGGGGGGGGGGGGGGGGGGAGAGGTACGGAGCTACTGGCCCCGGCGTCCCTTGCTGGCGCAAGCGCTGGCGCGCGCGGATGACGCAAGCGCTGGCGCTTCGCGGCTGGCGCTTCGCGGCTGGCGCAGGCGCTGACGCTAGCGCTGGTCGTAGGTGCTGGCGCTGGCGCTGGCCGCGAAGTGCTGGCGCATGTGCGGGCATTGGCGCGGACGACTTGCAGGGCGACGTGGGGGCGCGACGGACGGGCAGGGCACACGAGGCGCCACGGACGGGCTGGGCACACTGGGCGAGACGAACGGGCAGGGCGCACGGGGCGCGACGAACGGGCAGAGCGCACAGGGCGCGGTCGGCTAGCGCGGAAGGAATGGGATCGGAGAGGATCCTAACCTAGGTGAAACCATGCTAAGAACTGAATTGTGTGTTCATTGATGTGGGTTGGGGTACATATAGCAAACCCTAACATTTGTACCCCCTAAGACAAGCCTCACTACAGGCTACAACATTTGACAGTGCCATGTCGAAACCATGAAAGCACGCGACCATCACATCATCGTCGATTAATACGGTGGATGGTATGAATGTGTCAGAATAACTGAGCAGGAATG